CCGTTCCCGTGGGGTTAATTCTGTCCCCTTGGTTGAAAATCAGACTGGTGGAAAATGTCATTACTTGGTCTATACCTCGCTGAAGCCTACACAGTGGATACGGATATCTCCTCAGCTAATTAATCTCTCTCCCTTTGGCTTCGTCTCTTTCTGTCTCTCGCCCTTCCTTTCTAATACATTTGATGGATATTTTGTTACTTGCACGTGGGCTTCTGTGACGACAACGCTGATGTTTGGTAACGGTGATTGTGGTGAACGTAATGGCGATAATGATGTCGCGGATATGATGGTGCGGATGCTGGTGGCGATGATAATCTTATCGATGACGACGACGCTGCAATCCACTGAAAAGAATGCACTTTGGCCATCGTCACGCCATGTCCGTTCCCTGGACTCTCAGTGAAATAAAAAAGAGGCTCACATTTCACATACAATTTTTTCCTCGAACATCCACACATCCTCCCGCTTTCCCAATAAACACCACGTCACCCTGCCTTGCCACCTCGTCATCCTTCTCATCCAACTGCGAACGACAATCTATTCCGAAGACTCAGGGTTTGAGGGTAAAGAGAGTCAGAACCCAAGTGGAGGAGTGGAGGAAGATGATAACAAGGAAAAAGGGAGGGAAGGAAGAAGCGAGGAGGGGAAGAAGGGAGGACAGGATGAAGGGAGGGAGGGAAGAATCCTAAGCACACTCATGTCCTACCACCTCGGAATTTCCATGGAATCCACATAAAAAGCAATACCGGGAAGGATGTACAAATCTGCCGTCAAGTGTGAATAATTGATCCTGAAGAAGAAAAGAAAAGGTCATCCCAAAATGGAACGAGAATTAGTCAGAATAAAACTGACGGTCACAAAAAAAGATAATGAAGAAGCCGCCCAACAAAGAAAAATCATCAATAATACAACACTGCACGTACAACACACGAATTCAACCCGAGGAATTCCTGCTAAAACAGCACGACCAAAATGTCTGGACCAAGTGGTTGCCATCCAATAGCAAAGGTCAAAGTATCACAGCGGGGCTAAAATGTAAACAATGCGCTGCCACAACGTGCTCGGCGGCGTCCTTGCCAGCCAGCGCGGAGTCAACGAAAAAGACGTATTTTCGTTTTTAATCGGTGGATCTAGGTGAGCACGGCGAGGGCACACTCAAAATAAGAAATAAGAGGATGGAAAAAAGTGTCCACAAATAAACCCCTACAAACTATTAATAAACCATGACCGGCACAAAACTCAGCTGGGCGTTAGGTCATGATACGACACGGGATCGCCCTCCACCCCACCCTACCCTCAAGGAATGCAACTTGCAATACCAATGTGCGGCCGCCGCTTGCTAGAATGCGTACCATGGCTATCTGAAGGAGATATCTTGATCTTACCAAAGCAAGGCTGCCCCCAAAAGACTACGAGAGGAAAGGCAAATGCGGGGCCTCACCCGTCCCGTCCCACAAGTTCCTTCGTCCATTCTTATGCGGACCTTAACCTAAGACCGATACTTTCCTTCACGTCAAAAGAAAGCCAAATCATAAAAAGAACAGCTACTAAGAACAAGACACGCCTCAAAACCATAAAAAAGAACAGCTACTAAGAACAAGACGCGCCTCAAAACCATGAAAAAGAACAGCTGCTAAAAACAAGACACGCCACAGCAACGAAGACGACAACACTCCCTCTCCCGAGAGCGTCGCCATCACCCTCGTCCTGAAGGTGGACGAGTATGGTGGAAGAGGCGGCAAGGGGGATATTTAATATTCATTTCCTTATTTCATTATTATTTTTTCTTTCTTGAAATACTCGCAGATGACGGAAAACCGAACACGGGGGCCGAATGCACACCCAATCACCCACGGGATCGTTCCACCATTCGGCCGAGGTTTAATTAAGAAACGTTTGGACTGGGTGGCCGTAATTAGCCTGTTATGTCTGTGTCTGTCTCTGTATCTGTCTCTCTATCACCCACACTCCCTCACTCTCCCACTCACTAGGGAGAAACCATCTTGGAGTGAGACGCAACTGAATGAATTTATGTGCATGTCATAATATTTGGTCTAAAGGAGGAAAGTAAAAGAATAAGAGAAAGAGAAAAAGGGAGGGAGGAGGGAGAGAAAGGGGGGAGAGAGGGGAGAGAGGGGGGAGGAGGGAAGGAGAGGGAGAGAGAGAGGGAGGAAAGAGAGAGAGAGAGAAGAAAAAGGGAAGAAAGAGAGAGGGAAGAAAGAGAGAGAGGGTGGGGGAGGAGGAAGAGGAGGAGGAGGAGGAGAGAGAGAGAATGAAATAAATGTTTGGGGAGGGGGGAGGTGGCTTTGTGTAAAATATTAATGTAAATATCAATATCAATATAAATAAATATAAATATAAATACAAATACACACACACACATATATATACATATATATATACATATACATATATACATACATATATACATATATATATACATATACATAATTCATCTGAATGAAACCCCCATCCCCAGTGACGGGGCCGACGTACTCACCTGCGAGAGAACGGAGATGTGGTCCACGTAGTACTGGTCGGCCTGGTGCTTGGTGAAGCGGTTGCACAAGCACGACTTGCCCAGGCCCGTCACGCCCTTCTCCCTCTCGCCGCCCGACACGCCCACCACAGACACCACCACCTGCTTGGCCGCGTCGCCGCCCCGCCGAGCCATGCCCACCCACACCACGGGGCCCTCACGCCCGCGTCAGCCCAATTTTTCACACGCCCAATATACCCATCATGTAAGCAGGAGCACAGCTGGTGACCCACCCATGCCTGCTCAAGGGGCGGGCGCAGAGAGCATAGCTAGGGCCTCGAGAAAAGCAGCCTCTCGCGCCCACGACCCGTCACGCTCGCCTCCTCGCACTCCACCCGTGGGCGGTTATAACACTGCCCCGCCCGTGTGCTCCCCTCGCTCGCCGCGCGCCCGTGCACAACCAACATTCACAACCACCGGTCACTCACGCGAGGCCTCGAGAGCCCGGCACGACGCGACACTTTCTCACGGGCTGCGTCGGTTCCAAACACATATAATTCACTATTAATCACTATTCATTTTTCTGCTTCACTTCGAGAACACGCAACTTTGGACCATGGGTTCTGAGCACAACACTTGATAGGGAGATTGGGGGCGTCAGGAGGGAAGGTGGGCGCACACTAAGTGGGCGTGGGTACTGCAGGTCGCCCTGCCGGCGGCTCTAGTCTATCCACCTACAGCCATCACAGTATCTGTAAGACAAAAGAAAATGTCACGTTAGTTGCAAGGTACAGACGGGTATGACATACAACTGTAAATGTTAATAAATCTACGCAGCAGCCGCGCCATATTTCACTACCAGGAAAAAAGGTCACAATCCTATAAATCATGCGCTCTCCACACGAATGCCATAAAGCACAATAAAAATAATTTCCAGAACTACGAAAAAATACTGTCTCAATACATGCACGAAGATCCTTGGAGAAGACCTGGTAACAGGGTCGGCAAGCCACTCGTCGGTGAACACTGGCAACACACACAAACAAAGAGACGCTTGTGTGTTTATTTGTTCTTGTCTTTTCACCCCTCTTCACCTTTCTTTATTCTACCTAAAATGTACCCCCACCTCTTCCGGATGCATTTGTACCCATAAATAACATCTGCCCCGACCAATTTCTTTCTCCTTCTCCGCCTCCCCGTTTCTCTTCCTTTATCTCTTCCTCTCGTCTCGGTTAATCTCCTTCTGAGTTTTCCCTTGGCCAATCTGCACCTTTATGTCTTGAAACGATTATCTACTCACCTAATCTATCTTTATCTCTTAATCATTATCCAACTACATTTTATTTTCTTAGTTTTATATCTTCTAGATTCCGTGTACGTATGTGTGTGTGTGTGTGTTTCTGTGTGCGTTTCCGCGTGTGTTTTCCATGTGTGTGTGTGTGTGTGTGTGTGTGTGTGTGTGTGTGTGTGTGTGTGTGTGTGTGTGTGTGTGTGTGTGGTGTGTGTGTGTGTGTGTGTGTGTGTGTGTGTGTGTGTGTGTGTGTGTGTGTGTGTGTGTGTGTGTGTGTGTGTGTGTGTGTGTGTGTGTGTTGTGTGTTGTGTGTGTGTGTGTGTGTGTGTGTGTGTGGTGTGTGTGTGGTGTTTCCATGTGTGTGTGTGTGTCCATGTGTGTGTGTGTGTGTTTCCATGTGTGTGTGTGTGTTTCCATGTGTGTGTGTGTGTGTTTCCATGTGTGTGTGTGTGTGTGTGTGTGTGTGTGTGTGTGTGTGTGTGTGTGTGTGTGTGTGTGTGTGTGTGTGTGTAGTGAGTGAGTGAGTGAGTGAGTGAGTGAGTGAGTGAGTGAGTGAGTGAGTGCGTGCGTGCTTGCGTGCGTGCGTGTGGGTGTGTGTGTGTGTGTGTGTGTGTGTGTGTGTGTGTGTGTGTGTGTGTGTGTGTGTGTGTGTGTGTGTGTGTGTGTGTGTGTGCGTGAGTGAGTGAGTGAGTGGTGCTTGCGTGCGTGCTGCGTGCGTGCCGTGCTGTGTGTGTGTGTGTGTGTGTGTGTGTGTGTGTGTGTGTGTGTGTGTGTGTGTGTGTGTGTGTGTGTGTGTGTGTGTGTGTGCGTGTGTTTCCATGTGTGTGTGCGTATATGCGTGTGTGTGCGTGTATGCGTGTGTGTGCGTGTATGCGTGTGTGTGCGTGTAAGCGTGTGTGTCCGTGTATGAGTGTGTGTGCGTGTATGCGTGCGTGTGCGCGTGTGTGCGTGTATGCGTGCGTGTGCGTGTATGCATGCGTGCGTGCGTGTATGCATGCGTGCGTGCGTGTGTGCGCGCGTGTGTTCGTCCTATTATGTTTGCGAGAGTGTTTGCATTATCTTTCGTCCTTTCATTCTTCCTCTCTCTCGCTTTCCCCATGCCTTCTCTCTTCCTCTTTCATTCAACCCGCGCCCACAGAGCCTCTCCTCCCCTCCCACTCCTTAAATACCCCTTATTTTCGCTCCATCTTTTCCCTTCTCCTTCCTCTTCTCCTACGCCTCTCCTTCGCAAATTCCGAGGCGAATCCCCTCTCTTCTCTTCCTACTAATTCTCCTTTTGCAACTGTGCCTTTTTTTTCATCTCGCCTCTCGTTTCTTCGCGATCTCTTCCTTCCCTATTCCTATTCGCCGTCTTCCCCATCTTTCCCCATTCTTCTTCCCTTGCCTCTTATTTCCTTTTTTTCCCCTTGTCTATTCTTCTCCTCCTCCTCATTCCCTATCATCCACTCTCATTCTATACACTTGTCTTCAAAGCGCCACCTCTCCCGCCCGCTCTCTTTTTCCTCGTCGTTCTTCTTTGTTTCTGCGCTCCTCTCCCTTCTGTCTCCCTTACGTCCATTCACCCTTCCTCTGCCTTTTCTATCTTTATTATCTCACTTCCTCTTTCCCTTATCCCTCTCCTCTTATTTTTTCACCTTACTACTCCTCCTCTCCCCTTCAACTCCTGGCTTCTCTCCCTCTCACCTTCCTCTTCTCCTCCTCCCAATCCCTCTCTCTATTCCCCTTCCTCCCTCCTTCCCTCTTACGATTCCTCTCTCCCTACCCCTCGCACCCTTCCTCTCCACCTCCCTATTCCTACCTCCTTCCCCTCCCTCTTCCTTTCCTTCTCCTTCACCCTCCCTCCCAATCCCTCTCTTTCATTATTCTCCTCTCCACCCTCCTCTTCTCTTCTTTTCTCTTCTCTTCCTTCCTCCTCCTCATCTCCCTTCCCTCCCTCCTCATCTTCCCTTCCCTTCCTCCTCCTCTTCCTCCTCATCTTCCCTTCCCTTCCTTCCCCCTTCCCTTCCCTTCCCTTCCCTTCCCTTCCTTCCTTCCCTTCCTTCCTTCCCTTCCCTTCCTCCTCCCTCCTCCTCCTCCTCCTCCTCCTCCTCCTCCTCCTCCTCCTCCTCCTCCTCCTCCTCCTCCTCCTCCTCCTCCTCCTCCTCCTCCTCCTCCCGAAGCCTCCAAGTGGAAGTCTCGGGCCGGAGCATCCCTGGGTGGCGGCGCATAAGGTCTGCTGTAACAATAATCAATAGTGCAGGCAGGTCGCAGCCACACACGCCCCCCCCCCACCCACCCCTCTCCCCCCGCTCTCTCTCTCTCCCACAGCCCTCCTCCTCACTCCCCTCGCCCTATCCCCTCACGCCCAGCCCTCCGTCCTTCCCCACCTTGCCTCCATCTCTCTTTCCCCTCTTCCCCCTCCCCCCCTATCCCTCCGCACACACATTTCCCCCTCTCTTTCGTTCTTATTCCCACATCCTCCCCTGTCTTTACCTATCCCTCTAATACATTCCCTCTCTCTTTTCTCTTCCTCCTATCTTCTCTTCTTCCCTCCCTTCCACTTCTCTCTTTTCTCTTCCTCCTTATCCCCCACCCCTCTCCTCTTCTCCTCTCTACCCTCCTCCTCTTCCTCCTCCTCCTCCTCCTCCTCCTCCTCCTCCTCCTCCTCCTCCTCTTCTCTTCTTCTTCTTCTTCTTCTTCTTCTTCTTCTTCTTCTTCTTCTTCTTCTTCTTCTTCTTCTTCTTCTTCTTCTTCTTCTTCCGGCCTTCGCCCACGAGACCCTCCCATCCCAGACGAGCCCGCGGGAAGGGCCCGAGCAGCGCCGCCGTGGCATGGTCGCCTCAACCCTCCATTCATGGGCGAGTTGTCAAGGGAGGGCCCGGCCGCCCGCCACGTGTGAGGGAGAGGAGAGGCAGGACAGGGAGAAGGGAGAGGTAGGAACAGGGAGAGGAAGGAGAGGCAGGGCAGAGAGGAGGCAGGGAGAGGAGGGAGAGGAGGGAGAGGGAGGGATAGGCAGGGACAGGGAGAGGAGGGATAGGCATGGGAGAGGAGGAGAGCAGGGGAGAGGAGAGAAGGCAGGGAGACAGGGACAGGGAGACCAGGGAGAGGTAGGGACAGGGAGAGCAGGGAGAGGTAGGAACAGGGAGAAGGGAGAGGCAGGACATGGAGAGGGAGAGGAGGGAGAGGCAAGGACATGGAGAGGGAGAGGGAGGAGAGGCAAGACAGGGAGAGAGAGGTAGGGAGAGGGAGGGAGGGGATAGGGAGGAGGGCAGAGGAGGAGAGCAGGACAGGGAAGGCAGGAAGGAGAGGAGGGAGAGGGAGACAGGGAGGAGAGGGAGGGACAGGGACAGGGAGAGGAGGGAGAGGCAGGGACAGGGAGAGAGGGAGAGAGGGACAGGAGAGGAAGAGGCAGGGAGAGGGAAAAGGGGAGAGGAAGGGAGAGGCAGAGACAGGGAGAGGGGAAAGGATAGAGGAAGGGAGGGAGAGGCATGGACAAGGGGAGGGGAAAAGGGGAGAGGAAGGGAGAGAGAGGGGAGTGAGGGAGAGGGAGGGGGGAGAAAGGGAGGGAGAGGAGGAGAGTAGTTAGGGAAGGAAAGTGAGGAAAGGCTGGAAGAGGTGAGGGAGGGAGAGGCAGGGAGGAGAGTGAGAGGCAGGAGAAGGCTTCTACGGGACCGGGGGGAGGAGGAAAGGGAGAGAGAGAGAATAGACGGGGATCAGGAGGGAGGAGGAGGAGGAGGAGAGGAGAGAGGAGGAGGAGGAGAGGAGGAGAGGAGGAGGAGGAGGAGAGGAGGAGGAGGAGGAGAGGAGGAGGGGGGGAGGGCGAGCGGCGTTTGGGAACCACGTGAAAACTCTCCTCCCCTTCTCGTTCCATTTCTTCTTCACACCGGCCTCCTCTTTCCGCCTTTTAAAAAATAATTTCCTCCTCCCTTTCTCTCGTCCCTCTCACTTTCTCAACCAACATTCTCGAATCCCCGCCCTGTTCTTCTTCTTCTTCTTCTTCTTCTTTTCGCTCTTTTTCTTCCCTCTTCCTCTCTTCTCCTCTTCCTTCTCCTCTTCCTTCTTCTTCGTCTCCCTTTCACTCTTCCTCCTCTCTCTCCTTTCCTTACCTATCCATCTCCACCTCATCCCTTCTCCCCTATCCACATCCCTCGCTTTCCTCCGACCTATCCCATCTCCACCTCCATCCCTTCGTCCTCTATCCCCATCCCTCGCTTTCCTCCGACCTATCCCATCTCCCGGCGACTCGTTCACTGCCGAAAACACAATTCCGAAACGATGAAACAACGAATGATAAAATCACAATATAGGCCATTCCAACTTGTTTTGAATATTGCCGGGTGTTCGTTCGACTCGTTCGCAAAACATTTCCCGTCTCTTCTTTTTTTAAAGCCCTTTATTTCCCTCTCGCCCTTTCTCTCTTTCTCCTCCCTTCTTTCTTTCGCTCTCTTTCTCTTTTTTCCACTTCTTTCTTTCTCTCCCTTT